GAACAAAAAAACCCAAACAATTAAAAAAACCCACCTTGAACTGATGTTTCAGCTTTCTTAGAACTTGCAAACACACCAATAATCTGATCTCTTCGACTCCTATATCTGGCAGGGATGAAGGGGTGGGTAGGTAGGGGCTGACCTTTCTTTTTCTGGGTGTTACTTCAGTTTGTTTTGCAATCAAGAATATATATGTGAGGCTTTAAATTATATTTAAAAACAGTCATTCTAGACCAATTACAATGGTGAGTGCACAACCTTTCATGATTCGAAAAAAATCAACCCCAAAAGTTCACAGTGTTGGCCACTGCTTAGAGGCTGTTGCTGGAGTTGCCTTATACAATGTTACTGAGCTCTCGAAAGAAATTGCAAAACTTAATAAAAAATAACTCTTAAAGAGTGCACAGCCAGGGAGGTGTAATTACATTTTCTCTGCAGTCAGTGCCTGAGAGTTTAATAGCAGAATTCAGGCCGTTACACACTACAGAAGAGAACCCAAATTAAAAATCTGGTTATGAGTAGGATATTTTTTTTTCCAATGTTTGGGGGAAAATATTTCTCCCTCTGGTCATAAAGCCTCATACAGAGCCAAAAAAACCTGTTGATTTTTTTTTTTTAATCAGTTTTTTGTCTTAAAAGATTATGAGTGAAATTCCAGTGCAATAATTCTGTAGAGTGTAAAGGTGCCTAATTGCTGGGAAAGCTTCTGCACTTAGTGCTCCTATTGAGACAGAAGTGCAGAGTCCCAGCATATTAATAAGTGGCCCCTGTGAGATTCAACTGCCTTGTAATTATTGAGCCACCAGTTCTGGGCAAAATAAAAGCTGCCAGATGTTTTTCTTCTGGGTTTTGGATATTTGTGTACTTCACCAGAAAACGGCAGATTTGAAAATTGTATCAGTAAATTATGCTGTGATATATCTTTAAAGTGAAAGAGCAAAAGTTCTATATATCTTTGTGCTTTTTCATTCTGGCAGTAGAAAAAGGAGAAAAGACCTTCCCCCTTTTTTTTTTTTAAATTTTAATCTTTTTTTTTAAATTCCCAATTATATTCCAAGGAAGTTCAATGCAACAGCTTCCCTCTTGCCTCATAAACTTAAAGGGCTATCAATAACCTAACAAGATCTGGTGGCTGCTACCTTTTTATTTAGAAATGCTGGGTAAATAAAGGCAAACACATTAATTCCCATGTTCATTATTAAACCAGAAGATGGCTGGTGTTGTAGGATCAAGGATGGAGCTTGGACTCTTGCAGACTATTTGTCTGGTGCATCCTAAAACTGGAGTGGCTGTGGGACTGGCTGATCTAAGGAGGCACATGTGGAAGGGTGGCAGGTGATAAACTGGAAATAGTAACTGAAAGGGGAGAGCCCTTGGCTGGCTCCGGTGGGTGAACTGTGGCAGTTCAGCTCCTGAAGTTCTTTTCCGTTCATTGTTCTTGTGTTCTGCCTGCCCAAACACCAAGTTGGTCAGGAGTCCAGGGAGTAGTTTAGGGGAAAGGCTCATGGATCTTCCAAAATTTAGCAGTTGAATCATAGAATCATAGAATCAACCTGGTTGGAAGACACCTCAAAGATCATCGAGTCCAACCCTACCGTCGTCACTAGAAAATACATTAGAAGTTCTTCAGCCAGCTGATTGAGGAGTTACTTTATTCTCTCCCAAAGCAGTGGCTTCCCTCCTATGTCAAAAGGCTGGTTAAGTTATCTCCCTTTTGCTTTAGGATATGTGTGAAGAACATCATGAATCTGGAGGAGCAGGATGTAAACTCTTGACTCTTCAGCCTAATGTGGGGGAGAGGAGTTTGTTTTGGTGGGTTTATTTTTAAACTTCAGCATGCAGAAGCCACACTCAAACAGACCTAATTTGTCAGGCTTTGCCTGATAAAATTTGTATATGTTTCATTGTGCTGGGCCAGGCCTCAGGGCACAACCTGGGCAAACTCCCTGTGTCTGGGTGCTGTAGTAGCTGCTGGGGTGTTAGGGAAGCTGAGAGCTTGACAAAAAAGGATGGAGGAATTGAAATCACTGTGAGCTGTTTGAGACAATCTAAGCTGAGAATTATGGCAAGCCAAGACCTGGCAGTAAATAATGCTCTTATTTCTCAGGCTGATTTTTACTTTTTTTGTATAATACATTTAGGTTAGGAGATTGGAAGGAAGAAAAACTCAACAACTTTTCCTTGTTTTTCTTTTTCTCCTCTCATTCCTAGCAGCCTGCTGGATCCAGTAGACCTCTCATTCTTAGCCACAATCTTCAGTCTCCAAAACACACGTAGATGCAAACTCCTATTTAATCTTCCTAGCTAAACTATAATTAGGATAAAATCAACTTACTCAGAGCTGATGCTTTAAAAGCAGTGTAGGTGTTTCTGGACTCCTATCACTCTGCTGGGTTCAGTGGCATCACCTCTGATGAAGTTGGTGTGACTGAAAGCAGCATCAGCCCAGTTCTTTGATTCAGGCAATCTCCACTGGGTCACAGCTCACATTTGAATACAGATGCAACCAGAGCTCATTAGATTGCTTAGGAGCCTCTCCAATTCATTCCTTTTGTTCTCCATCCTGGCAACAGCCATTTTTATCCTCTTTGCTGTTCTCATGCATTGAAAGACTATGCAAAATATATAACTGGACATCTTATTTTTCCCACTGCCCTTCCTACCTTAATGGCTGAGATCAGTGTCTGATTTCTACTCACTGTTCAGTGGTTTTACTGTTGTATCCTGGAAGTGTCTGTACTCGTTTACTTTGCACCATTCAGAGTTGTTTGCTTGAAGCACTGTTAACTTTTTAGAGAGTATTTGTCTGAGATGAGAAAAGTTGTGAATGATGTTGTTGCAACTGTTTTAAATTAAAAAGAAATATTCTCACATCTGCTGGCTGTGTGCATTCTTGCTTCTTTCTTTCCTGTCTGAACTGAAGAGGCATAGACTGAGTATGTTTCAATGCTGCCTCTTTGCTTACTCTTTTTGGTCATGTTTGGATTTTACTTAAAAAAAGAACCTGCATAGGGAACAAAGAGGTTTGTGAGAGTCTTGATTTCTTGTGACTCCTGACATTTCTATGGGTTGAAAAAAAGTAAATTAAAAAATCCCCAAGCCCTGAGTGGATATAAAACATGACAAAAATAGAAAGTAGGATTTAAATTTAGATTGGTTTGTTTGTTTGTTTTTTTCAACTTTTAAGCCATTTGGTGTTCTTTGAACACAAATGTTGGCAGTGTCCGTGTGTAACAGTGTTGTCATTTCACCCCAAATTCCTGCTTCACCATGGTCTGTAAATCCTCATGTTAATTTAGAAATCTCATCTGCTGTTCAGTACAGAAGTCTGTTTTCCTCATGTGTAAGGACTTCACATAACAGTGTGACCATCAGGACTCTGGTAGATGCAAGAATAGGCCAAAAAAGAAGACTGAGGGATGACGAGCATTTCAATTTTTTATAGGATCATGGGAACAGGAACTGGAGGAGAGGTAAGACGTAAAGCTGTTGGGCTCTGAGTGACACTTCCTGACTTGGAAGTTGAGGACATGTGATGTGTTGAATGATAACAAATGTAAAGATGGTTCCTCTTCTGAAGTTCAAATTTAATGATCTGTTTTGGTTTCTTTTCTATCACAGATGTCCTCTGTGACCACGGCAAGTCATGCTGCACTGTGTTCACACCACTTGTAGCAACTGGAAGAGGTGGGAGAGTGGCTCCTTGTGCAAGCTAAAGGGCTCTGTTCCAACTTCATCCAAGAGTTTCCTGTATAGGAATTGTACTCACTAGCTTTTGCAGACTGGTTGTGGGAGTATTGGATAACTGGCAAGTTACCACCCTCTGCTCCCCCGCAGTAAAATGGAAAGTAACACCTCTCTGCCCCCCAGGTGTGCTACAAGCTTGACAGGAATAAGGGAGGCACTGACAGCTGTGGTGGAAGACAAATGCCATAAAATTATCAGATACTGCATGACTGAC